GTGCTCGCCAGATAGACAGAGAGAGACATAGAGACAGAAAGCGAGAAATCACCCCCCAGGGGGGATGGTCATGCCGCAATCCCTTCTCCTCCATTCTCCTCTCGGGATCTTGGGCATGCATGCACACATGCCCGGCATGAGTTTTAAGCCACCGGGTCCGGGACACGAACCGCAGTCGACTACGTGGGAGTCCAGCGACATAGCCATTACGCTAACTGCTGGTTCCCTATACTTGTGTGTCTTTGTGTGTTTTGTTATTGCATCTATTTCTAATTCACAGCCTTCCCCACTCAAAAAAACGTGTTCATGCCGAGCTAAACCCGGCAGATGGTGACAGAGGAGAAGCGACTGTGACACGACCATGTCCCACTTGGATGCTCTCTCCCTCTCCCCCTCTCTCTGGTAAATAGATATACCTTGGGGGAGGGGGGAAGGGAGAAAAGGAAAGGAAAGAAAGACCTGTTAAGAATGTAAATGAGGGGCTGGCAGGCGGCATGGTGATTAAGGCACTGGATTCCCACATAGTTGACCATGGTTCAGGTCCCGGATCTGGTGGCCCCAAAATCACAATGAATAAATAGGAAAAAAAAGAACATAAATGAGGGGATAGCAGGAGGCCTCTCACACGGCCCACTGCGGTCTGAGCACCTGCTGTGTATCACACTGTTTTAGGAGCTAAGGGTGTAGTGATAACCAAAACAGAGTTCTGACATCAAAACGATTACATCCTTGGGGCCAGCAGGTGGCGTGGTGGTTGAGGGCGCTGGACTCCCAGATGGCCAACCACGGTTCGAGTACTGGGTCTGGAGGCTTGCTTTCTCTCTCTCTCTGTTCCTCCTTGGTCAAATTAAAATAAATAAAGTTAAATAAAATAATACTTAAAAAAAAAAAGATTACATCCTAGTGGTTTATGAAACAAGAGAAAAAATTATGCTTCCATAGTAATTCAGAAGATGATACCTTCCACATACTTAGCATATGACAAAAATAGCAAGTTGAGGGACCAGCAGGTGGCGTAATGGCTATGTCACTGGACTCCCATGTAGTCGACCGCGGTTCGTGTCCCAGACCCGGTGGCTTAAAACTCACGCTGGGTGCGTATGCGTGCGTGCCCAAGATCCTGAGAGGAGAACAGAGGAGAAGGGATTGCAGCGTGGCCATCCCCCCTGGGGGGTGATTTCTCGCTTTCTGTCTCTCTGTCTCTCTCTGTCTGGCGAGCGCACGCGCCCTATGGCAAAAACCTCTCCAAAAAAAATAAATAAATAAAATATCAAGTTGATATTAACAGAATTACAGAAAGTGTACCATATATTCACCTATTTAAAAATTATCAAAATATCGATAAATATATTTGATATAGCATTTTTTCTAGGCATTAAAATTTTCTAGGCATTAAAAATACTTTAACATATATTATCTTTTTTCCCCTTTCTTTTTTTTTTTTTTGGAGAGGTTTTTGCTATAGGGCGTGTGCGCTCGCCAGACAGACAGAAAGAGACATAGAGACAGAAAGCGAGAAATCACCCCCCAGGGGGGATGGTCACGCTGCAGTCCCTTCTCCTCCATTCTCCTCTTGGGATCTTGGGCACGCACGCACACGTGCCCGGCATGAGTTTTAAGCCACCGGGTCCAGGCCGCGAACCGCGGTTGACTAAGTGGGAGTCCAGCGACACGCTAACTGCTGGTTCCCTCCCCTTTCTTTTTAAAAAATATTTTATTGGACCAGCAGGTGGTGTGGTGGTTAAGGTGCTGGATTTCCACATGACCAACCATGGTTCAAGTCCCAGACCGGGCAACTTGAAAATCATATTGGGCATGTGTACATATGTGCCCAGAATTCCAAGAGTAGAATGGAGGAGAAGGGATTGTGGTGTGGCCATCCCCCTGAAGAGTGATTTCTCACTTTCCCTCTCACCATCTCTGTTTCTCTTCGATGAATGCATGTATCCTATGTCAAAAACCTAAAAATAAAATGGTAAAAATAATAACATTTATTTAGTTATTTGGAGCAGTTTTAGGTTCACAGCAAAATCAAAAGGGAAGTACAAAGATTTCCTACCTGCACTCGCTCCCCCACGTGGGCCCACCCCTCTCTATCAACAACCCCACCAGGTTACATCTGTTACAGTGCATGAACCTAGGCTGACATGTCGCAACCTCCCCAAGTCCATGCTTTAAGTTAGGGTTGGCTCTTCGTGTTGTACACTCTGTAGGCCGTAAAATGACGTGTCCCCCCGTGGCTGTGTCATACGGAGTATCTCCACTGCCCCAGCAGCCAGGTGCTCTGCCTGCTCTGCGTTTCTCCCAGCCCCTCGCATCCACCGATCTTTCTTACTGTCTCTACGCTCTTGTCTTTTCCAGAGTACCATAACGTTGCTATCATAGTTGCACATTGTCTTTATTTCCTCATTGACTGTAGGAAGAAAGGGTGGAATTATCACTAAGCCCCAAAAGGGTGAGAACCTAGGTCTGTATCTTTGAAACCATTCAGATTTCATCATAAACTACACCTTCCTCAGACATAGGTCTCTAAGATTAAGTATGCCCAAAGACAGAGGACAAAGCGCTTAGAAAAATCTGAGAAAGTGACCTGCCTCCTCATTTAAACTCACTGCGTGATGGCCCACGAGAGACAGGTGTGATACTGTGACAACTGGGAGTATGGATACATGCACACACCTCGGATCTATTAACAGAATCTCTGCTGTGTTTGAAAATAATTTATTAGAGATTTGCTAGAATCAGTCTCCAGACTTCTTAGTTTAAAAAATTATTGCATTTAACTTTATTTTTTTAATATATATTTATTTTAAAATTTGACCAGAGTGGGACAGAATGAGAGAGAGAAAGAGAAAGGGAAAGGGAAAGTGAGAAAGCAAGCCACCAGCTCCGGGACTCAAACCGCAGTAGGCCATGTGGGAGTCCAGCACCTTTAACTACCCTGCCACCTGCCTCCCCCAGATTTATTTATTTACTTTTTAGAGTTTTTTGCCATCAGGTGCATAGGTTCACCAGAGAGAGAGAGAAACAGACATATATAGAGGGAGAGAAAGGGAGAAATCACCACCACCACCCCCCGGAGGGATGGCCATACTACAATCCCTTCTCCATTCTCCTCTTGGGATTTTGTGCCGGCATGCATGTGCACCTGGTGTGAGTTTCAAGCTGCCGGGTCCAGGACTCAAACCATGGTCAGCCATGTGGGAATCTAGAGCCTTAACCACCACTCCACTTGCTGGCCTACAAGGAGTTTTATTGACTGTTTGTTCATTTGTTTTCTTTTTTTAGTTTTTGCTATAGCACACATGCCCTTGCTGGAGACAGAAACGGGGTGGGGAGGGTTAGAAAGCACCTTCTGCCCTCCAAGTCCCACCCCCAAGGACGATGCCCACACCACAATCCCTTCTCCTCCACTCTCCTCTCAGGATTTTGAGCATGCACGCACACACGCCCAACATGTTTCTCAAGCCACTGGGTCTGGGATGCAAAACACAGCTCCAGCCACCTTAACTACCATGTCACCTGCTAGCCCAGCTTTTCTTTTCTTGTTTTAAATTACCAGAGGGAATATGCAACAGCCAGAGAGAACACACCCCCAGTAGGGCAGAGTCGTACTGCAATCCTTTTTCCTCCATTTCACCATCCTGTCATGGCATGCACACACATATACCTGGGTGTTTTTCGAGCCATTGGGGCCAAGATTCAAACCACTGTCAGCCATGTGGGGATCCCTCTCCCTATCATAGGGCTTAACTACTGTGCTATGGGGCTGGTCCTCAAGGGAGCTTTTAACTCTATCTCACTTTTGCCTGAGTTTCCTCGACTATGTAGAGAGAATGATGACCTAAAGAACGCTAGCCTTCAAGAACCAGTGGATGGCACAGTGGTTGTCACTGGACTCCCACATGGCCAACTGCACTTTGAATCCTGGGCCCAGTAGCTTCAAACTCACGCCAGGTGTGTGTGGGTGCATGTCTAAGATCCTAGGAAGAGAACAGAGGAGAAGGGACAGTTACGTGGCAATCCCTCCAGGAAGTGATTTCTCACTTCCTGCCTCTATGTCTCTGTCTCTCCAGCAGCACCCGTGCCCTCTAGCAAAAGTCTCTCAAAAAAAAGAATGCTAGCCTACAATTTTTCTTCTATTTGTCCTGGTTCTGCCAGGATAAGCAAGGAAAAGGTGGCAGATCTCCCTATATTCAGAAGCAATGAGCCCTCAAAACCAGATCTCCTACTAGAGGATCTGTGGGTGTCATCAATCATCTGGTTTCAGGGACAGTATTTAATCACTAAAGATCCGCTGACCAGCGCAGGCTCTGTGGTGTGGTGGTGAAGGCAGCTGTATCCTACATGGCTGGTCGTGAGGTTCGAACTCCGCACCCGGCAGCTTGACAAACATGTTAGGTGCATTTGGTGCGTGCCCAAAATCTCAGTGGGGAGGAGAAACGGAGGAGAGACTGCAGCATGCTCCTTCCCCATGGTGGATACTGTCTACTCTGCCTGGTGAGCACACATACCCTGCAGCAAAAAAAAGACTCTGACCAGAACAGAGACGACAACACCCAACCCTATACATTCCACCCCCCGGGTAGGAAAACACAAAATCTCTGATGTGAGTTAATTTCCCATTTAGTAATGAGTCATTTAAGGGTAAGAAGTTTGCTCATCTCTAGATCAAAATAGGGGAAAAGAAAAGGCCAAAGGGGAAACTGCCGCTAGGGTGTGGAGATAATGGAAGAAGTAGATGCATGGAAGGAAAATGATCTTGACTTACTTTTTGGTGAGCCGGGGGTCCAGAGGAGGGTGCTGTGCTCCATACACAGGTTGGATGCTAAAAGCAAGAAAAAGAAAGAATAAGTTGTCAGCAAACTGAACATCTTGCTGAATACCATCTGCACTGCAGAATTACGCAGGACTTCCGAGAGCTATCCCCAAGCCAACCCCAAAGATAGCAAGCTACTCTTTAAGAAAACAATGTACATTTCCCTCGTGGAGTTTCAGTGACCTGAACAGCCGACTGTCAAGAAGTCCCATCTGGGACCAGCAGATGATGCAATGGTTATGTGGCCGGATTTCCATACGGCCGACTGCAGTCTGAGTCCCGGACCCGGGCAGCTTACAACTCCCGCCGGGCACATGCGCATGAATACCCAAAGTCCTAAGAAGAGAATGGAGGAGAAGGAATCATGGCGTGGTCATTCCCTCTGGGGGGGGATTTCTCACTTTCGGTCTCTTTGTCTCTCTAGTGAGCGCATGCACCCTATAGCAAAAATCTCTCTCTAAAACAGAAGAAGTTCCATTTGTGGAAAGGTAATGGAGTTGGAGAGAGCAGAGTTCTGTTACCCAACCCTACTGTGAACTTGTACCAAGTTATAGGACTACTGTTTTTAAAAAGAATTATATCAGGACCAGCAGTTAGCATAATGGCTATGTTGCTGAGCTCCCATGTAGGTGACCGCGGTTCAAATCCCAGACCCAGTGGGTTATGCAGGTGCGTGTGCATGCATGCCCAAGATTCCGAGAGGAGAATGGAGGAGAAGGGATTGCAGTTTGGCCATCCCCCCAGGGGGTGATATCTCACTTTCTATATCTCTGCCTCTCTCTGTCTTTCTGGCAAGCGCACACACGTGCCCTATAGCAAAAACCTCTCCAAAAAAAAGAAAAAAGAATTATTTCATTTAACTTAATAAATTAATATTTGACCAGAGAGGGACACAGTGGGGGTGGGAGATGGAGAGAAACCAAGCTACCGGGTCCGGGACTTGAACCATAGTCAGCCATGTGGGAGTCCAGTGCCTTAACCACCAGGCAACCTGCTGGCCCCATATACGATGACTTTGAGCCTGTTTCTTCACCTGTAAAATGGCAATATTACCTACCATAAAGGCTCAGTGGGCTAAAAGACAGTGAAGCAACACTACACACTCAGGAAGGAGTGACCCAGGGAGTCTCACACACTATGGTGGGCGTAAAGTGACAGAACCATTCAAAACAACTCGGCCACATCTAGGAAGAAAGAAACACACACACCCTAAGAACCAGTGTTCCCACTCCCAAATATGTAAAGAGTAATACAGACACATAAAGGAGCTTCAAAGAGTTCACAGAAAATGCATATTATGAAAAATCTGTGTGTGCATTTTGAAAATCTTTTGCACCAAAGTAAACTTGTGCTTTAATTCCATTTTTCCATGACCTCATGCACCCACACGCACCTGGCGTGAGTTTGAAGCTACTGGGCCCAGGACTCACCATGGTCAGCCATGTGGGAGTCCAGCAACATAACCGTTACACCATCTGCTGGTCCCTAGAAAAACATTTTTTAACCCAGGGAATATGCTTTCCTTAACCCCTGCCTGAAGAAACCGGGCAAGGACACGCTCTAACTGCCATGAGATAAATGTGCACCCATGGCAAGGGATCGGGGAGAAGGCTGAATTGATCCTCCCTTGGAATGAGCCTTAAATGTGAGGCTTTATGGTTGCAGAAGAGAACATGAAAGTAATATCATTGGCCTATATTAAAATAAGGAGGAAAAAGTTGACAATAAATACACTGATTTCCTCATCTTTTAGTGACAGGGCTCAAAAGATACTTAAAGCCGATAGCTCAAGTAAGAGAGACATGGTGTGCTTTAAGATAGAAACTAAAACTGAAACTAATAATACGGGCCAGAGAGGCGATGTGGTAGCTAAGGCATACATGGCCGACTGCACAGCTTGAGTCCTGGACTCGGAGACCTGAAAAACACGCGCGCATGTGCCCGAAATCCTGAGCGGAGGACAGAAGAGACAGGACTGCAGTATGGCCATACCCCTGGGGGTGATTTCTCACCCCCCCATTTCTCTCTTCTCTCTGCAAGTGCACGTGCCCTACAGCAAATTTAAAATAGCAATAATAACATATTCACTAATGGGAATCAGCAGTTAGCATAATGGCTATGTCACTGGACTCCCACGTAGTCAGCCGTGGTTCACGTCCCGGACCCGGCGGCTTAAAACTCACGCCGGGCACGTGTGCATGTGTGCCCAAGATCCCGAGAGGAGAATGGAGGAGAAGGGACTGCGGCGTGGCCATCACTCCTGGGGGGTGATTTCTCGCTTTCTGTCTCTCTGTCTCTCTCTGTCTGGCGAGCGCACGTGCCCTATAGTGAAAACCTCTCAAAAAAAAAATATATATATATATATAATCACTAAAAGCAGGTAGGGAAGGAGGGGACAGAAAATACACTAATATTTTTTGTGGAGAGGTTTTTGCTATAGGGCGTGTGCGCTCGCTAGAAAGACAGAGAGAGACAGAGAGATAGAAAGCGAGAAATCACTCCCAGGGGGGATGGCCGCACCACAATCCCTTCTCTTCCACTCTCCTCTCACGATTTTGGGCACACACAGATGCACCATGAGCTCAATGTGAGTTTAAGCCACCAGGTCCAGGACTTGAACCATGATTGACTACGTGGGAGTCCAGCAATAAGCCATTACTACGACTGCTGGTCCTGAAAATACACTAATATCATCACTGTTCAGGATTAAAAGGCAATAGATAATGTCAGAAGTAATACAAAGTATAAAGTTGTATGTATATGGGGCCAACAGGTGGCATGGAGGTTGGAGCACTGGATTCCTACATGGCCAGCTATGGTTTGAGTCCCGAACCTGGTGGCTTGTTTTCTCACTTTCCCTCTCAGCACCCCCTGCGCCCTGCCCCCCGTCTTTCTCTAGTGAGCATGCACTCTCTGTCTCTCTGTGGTGAGCATGCATGCCCTATGGCATGAACAGGTACAACCAACTGCATGTTTGGGGAAAAAAAAGTTATATGTACAAATGTAATCACTAGAATAAAAAGATAAACCGTCCAAAATTATCAGTATACATACATGCATGCCCCTAAAATAAGCCCAGTTCACATAGTAAAATATTTTAAAGAAAATATTAAAAATAGAACTAAGACCATATAGTTATTCAAAATTAATTAAAAATAAATGGACTGAATTTACCTATTAAAAGAAAAAGGATTATTATCAATAGGCAACTGGTTAAAGTACCTTTTTTTTTAATCACCAGAGGGCACATGAACTTTCCAGACAAAGACAGAGGGGAAGAAAACAACCCCCAGCGGAGCACGGTCATGCCCAAATCCCTTCTCCATTTCTCCCTCCTTCGGGGGTTCTGGGCACACACAGGCTCCTGGTATGTCTCTGAAGTTGCTGGGGCCGGGACTCAGACTACACAGGTGGCCGTGTGGGATTCAGCTGCCTTGGCCACCGTGCCACCAGCTGGCCCTGATGATTTGCATTTGTTCTGTACAGCTACTAAGGTACGCATACTCAAACTCTCCACACCCACAAAACCTTTTAATAGTGAAATATAAAACCAGTGGATAGAGCTGGCCCCATAGCACAGTTAAGCACTGTGACTGGGAGCTAGATCCCACATGGCTGTTCGTGGTTCAAATCATGGCCCTGGCAGCTTGAAAGACACACCAGGTGCATGTGGGTGCATGCCCAAAATTCAGACAGGAAGGAGAGATGGAGAAAAGGGATTATGGCAGCTCCATGTCCTACTGGGATGTGCTCTCACTCTCTCTTTCTCTCCTTCTCATGCATGTGCCCTCTGATAACTTTAAAAAATTAAACAAAAACTAGGGGGAGGGAGAAAGTGGTGGTTAAGGTACTAGACTCTGACATGACTGACCATGGTTCAAGTCCCCAACCTGGTGGCTTGAAAATCATGTTGGGCAAGCGTGTGCATGCCCAAATTCCCGAGAGGAAAATGGAGAAGAAGGGATTATGGCATGGCCAGACACCAGAGGGATGATTTCTCACTTTTTACCTCTCTCTCTCAGGTGAGAGAGGCAAAAACCTATGGCAAAAACCTAAAACACACACACACACACACACACACACACACTAAACTCTGCAGAAAGCTCTCAGTTGGCTGGTTAGGTTAGATGACTGGGCATAAACAGAAGATCCTTAGATACTCTCTTTGAAAGAGTATTATTGGGAACCAGCAGTTAGCGTAATGGCTATGTCGCTGGACTCCCACGTAGTTGACCACGGTTCGCGTCCCGGACCCAGCGGCTTAAAACTCATGCCAGGTGCGTGTGCGTGCGTACCCAAGATCCCAAGAGGAGAATGGAGGAGAAGGGATTGCGGCGTGACCATCCCCCCTGGGGGGTGATTTCTCCCTTTCTGTCTCTCTCTCTCTCTCTCTCTCTGTCTCTCTGGCGAGCGCACGCGCCTTATAGCAAAAACCTCTCCAAAAAAAGAAAAGAAAGAGTATTATTGGGGGCCAGCAGGTGGCATGGTGGTTAAGGGGTGTATCAAAAATAAAAATTAAATAAAATATATTTTAAAAGAAAAAAAAAGAAACTACCATCAGTCCAGTCCTGTAGTTTAGTGGTTAAGGGAAGCCAGATCCTACGGAACAACCAAGGTTCAAAACCTAGTCTCAGTGGTTTGAAAAACCTGCCAGACAAGTGAGGAATGGAGCAGGGATTGCGCTGTGACCACAGCCTCTTGGGGATGAGGTCCTTTCTCCACCTCCAGCTCCCTCTGCCCCTCTCTCGCCTTCTCTCACACAAGTGCATGTGCCTGGGGGCCACTTTAAAAGAGAGACAGAGAGACACAGAGAGAGAGAGAGAGAATTATCTCCTGCCAGTAACCCATGGCCAGCAACGTATGCAGAAAAGCAAATCTAATCACATAGGCTTAAGGGTAGGGGCCATAAATTACCATCAGGGGAAAGAATCTTGAAATATCACAGCACACTATTTTTTAAAGATGTCAGCCCAATGTGCTGGTACAGCGAGAAAGCCTAAGACGAACGA